AGCCCCACCCTCAACCCCACCCCAGCCACCACCATCCGCACCATCATCCCCAGCAGCAGCAGTCGCACCACCACCACCATTATTATTTCTACAACCACAGCCACAACCACCACCACCACCACCATCACCAGCAGCCTCACCAATACCTGCAGCATGGAGCCGAGGGCAGTCCCAAGGCCCAGCCAAAGCCGCTGAAACATGAGCAGAAACACGCCCTCCAGCAGCACCAGGAAACGCCGAAGAAGAAAACAGGTCTGGGAGGGAGGACGGGTGGGGGAAGGGGATTGGGGGTGGGGGACAGTGGGGGACAGGAGAGATGGGGGTGGGGCTGGATCCGTGAGCGCGGAGTGGGTCCGGGTGTGTGTGTGTGTTCGCGCGCGCGCGGCCCCTCTGGGTCTGGGGATGCCCCCTTTCATTCTCCCAAAGCTAGGGCTGGGTAATGGGGTTTGCAGCGCCCTCTCCTTCCCTTCGGCATGGGAGAGGCCCAACCAGGCCAGCGTGACCTTCCCGGCCCCCGCCCCGGCTGGAGGGAAACCCGCAGGGTCGGCCTTGCTAAGCTACCCTATTCCTTCCCGGTTCACCTTCCTGCAGCCCTGGAGTTACCTTCATCTGGGGGCAGTGAGAGGGGGTCAGCCTGCCCCCCCCCCCCCAAAAAAAAAACCCTCGAGGCGTAACTCGGGAAGGCCTAGCGAATCCCGACTCGGGTGGTGTCGCGAGACCCTTCTGCAGGCGGCGAGGAGGGGTAGGTGGGCTGAGTTGAGGAAGTGCCCTCTTCTACCCGCCACCCCAAGCCCACCTGTGGCCTTGGGGTCCCCGTGTGAGGGGGCGGTTGGGACCCCTCGTCTCTTGGGTCATTTTCACCCCTAAAGGCCTTCTTCGGGCACCGGACCCTGCAGTCTGTCCCTGCGGCTCCTCCCAAGGCCGGCGCCCCGGGCCCGCTCCCCCCAGAGCCGGCGCGGCTGGAATGTTCTCTCCTCCTCGCGGGGCCGCTTCCTGTCCGCCATGTTGGAAGCCGATTCCTGTCACCGACTCCGGCCCGCTGAGGAGCGGAGGGGGGAGGGTG